ACGCCCCCCCCCCCCCAAATCCCAGGGGTGGAAAAAAAAAAAAGCAAAAAAAAGAGGGAGGGGGGGGGGGGGGGGGGGGGGGGGGGAAGGGGTGATGGGAACTCTGGTCTTTCACCCCTCCTTTTTTGGACGTTCCTTAAGTTTAATCATTAAAGTGGATCCTTTAAAAAGGAGGCAGCAACTTAACGCTGCTTTTTCTGACAATCTGCCCCACACACTGTCAGCGAAGTGAAAGATCTGGATCTAGCTTTGTTGCTTCGCTACCAATAGCAGACTTGGGGAGACCAAACCTCCGATTTCTGGCCACATCAAAGCACTGATTATGCAAATACCCATTTTTTTAAGAATAAAAGAAAATGGAGGGGGAATTATTTATCACACAATGAACCCCCTGCCAGGGCGGGAAACAATAGATCAGACCCGATAGCCCTTCTAGCCCCAGGCTGGGGGAACGGGAAAGGGGGGAGGTATTGGAGCCCTCACGTTTTATTGGTCTAACCTAATTTCACTAATTCTCTTTTCACACATTTCTTTGGCGGATTCGGAGGCCGGGACTTTCACGCTCCCGGGAGCGCCCTGCATTGGCGCGATTCAAGAGCTGCCCGCTTTATTTAATTAATACATTCAAAGCTCGCTTGGGAGCCCGAGGGGGCTCGGGGGAGACCGAGGCCGGCGGTGAGAAGGCGCTTTTAACCGGTTCCAGGTGTCGGTGCCCAGAAGTCACAACCGGCCCAAGGGTGTGTAACGCAGGGGGGTGTACCCAGCGGGTGAGGGCGCCGCAGCTCCCAGCCTCGCCCTCCAGCCCGGCCCTTTAGCTACCGGGAGCTTGTGACCCAGACTGGCGGGTGGGCGGCTGAAGCCGGCCTTGGGCCTAAACGCCCTTCCTGGGCCATCGGACTAGGCTTTGGAAAGTGCCGAATGGGCCCTTGCTCCCTCCTGGCCAAGGCCGCCAGAGGCCTTCGCCTTAGCTGGGGCACCGGGGCGCCCACCCGGCTCTCACTCCAGGCGGGGCGGGCCCGGGGAGCCTCAGCACCTCCTCCTGCCTCCGGCTGCGCCTGGGTCCGGCTCCCTTGGCGGCCCCAGCGGTTGGCAGTCCGCCTCTCTACTTTTTTTTTCTCTCCTTCTTGGCACTCAGATGGATGTATTTAAAATCTAGTGAAGGAAAAATGAGTCGTAACAAGGCCTGGGCATTTTAGAACAAATAAATACAACCAATCCCGGAACGCCGGCCGAGCTAAAGCTACGCTCCAATGAGGACAAGACCCACCTTCGCGCCTCACCCCACTTAGGAAACGCTAAGCTGGCTTTGGAAAGATCTAGCAACATTGGCAGTCTGGGACTGTCACCGGAAGAAAATCACCACAGCGTTGTTTGAAGTGTCTCTCATCAGAGAGCCACCAGAAATAGAACGCCGTGGCTCCGAGGCCTGCAAACCTGCTTGGTGCACACAGATCCAGCTCATCACATCTCGGTCACAATGTTGGGAGGGAAATGGGTAAAATGGGAAAATGACTTTGTTGCCTACTGCAGAAGCAGCGGCTTCGACCCTCTAATTGTACTCATTCCTACTGGGAAGGGAAGAGAACGACTGGGCTCAGGCCACAGGCTGTGAAGGTTGCAACGGGTTAAGGAAGAGAATCTCGGCGCTGAGGCAGTCAGAAGCTCATTCTTACCTTCTTTAGATGATTAGACGCCATAAAAAATAATTGCACCAATTTGGTGTAAAATAGGATGTGTTCTAGATGGGGAAGAGAAAGCCTGAATGTGAGTTGCAGATGGTAGATGGAAGCCCTGGCACTCAGGATGTGCCTGCTTGTGTGTAATGGGGACGTGCAAGCTCCAGCTTTGAGAACTTGAACAAGACTCTGGACCTGAAAGAAGTGTGTAGAGTCGTCTAGGTCAAGAGTGAAGTCTCTGTTAGCTGTATTAGCTTTACTCAGAGCTAGGATTATTAAATCATCTGTCCATCCCTGCCTCTCCAACTGAGCCGTTAGGGTCTTTTTATGGGATGGCTTCACCAATTGAGAAGGTTTCCCATAGTCGGAGGAGTAGGTTCGCCTGAAATTTTGTCATGAACTCTTTCTTTGGCAAGTTTCCAATGGAAGCTCCATGTAACTTCATATGTAACATCATCAACAGAAGCAACATTGTTCAACACCAAAACTGATGTTTTCAAACGATCATATATAATTCCTTTGCTTGGTGACTTGGCTTTTTAGAAACATAAATGTGAGGCTGGGCGTGTAATGCCAGTACTTTGGGAGGCCAAGGCAGATGGATCATAAGGTCAGGAGTTCGAGATCAGCCTGGCCAAGACGGTGAAACCCTGTCTCTACTAAAAACACAAAAATTAGTCGGGCGTGGTGGCGTACACCTGTAATCCCAGCTACTCAGGAGGCTGAGGCAGAAGCATCCCTTGAACCTGGGAGGCAGAGGTTGCAGTGAGCCTAGATCAGAGCAAGACTCCATCTAAAAAAAAAAGAAAAAGTGAATATATGAGAAATATCACTTTCTCCCCTTGTCAGATAATCAAAGAGCAGCTAAGAGTCACACAGTGTTTAAATTAGAAGGGATTTACCAAAAGGCCTCTCATGTTTGCCTGTAAAAATGAAACAACCCTGAGTTAGCTCTTCCTTTGATTAAAATGAAGTTATTAGAGAGGAGTAGTTTCAGATAGACATCTCAGGAGAAATTATTATTTCATTGTGTGGGAGAGTGGAGTATATAGCCCAAACAGATGCAGGTAAGACATTCATGGGGAAAGGGGCGCTGTGAACAACCAAGGTTTAATGTGATCTTTTTCAGCTTGTGTTGTCATAGAAACTCTCTCCCAAGGGGATTAAATCTAGAATGTGATCAACCTTCATTTGGTCATTTTTGACCCAAGGCCAATCAAAGGTCATTCATTGCTGCTTTGGAGATTGGGGTGTAAGTTAAACCATTTTTGCTTTCTCTTTGAAGAAGTTTTTACTATGTAATTACTTTAACAAATATTGGAAAGCAGAGCTATTTTTTTTTCATATGTTTTCAATTCCAGCTCACTGTAAATATCTGCATTATTCTGGGAGTCTGCTTTTAAAAGCAACTAGCTTGTTAAAATGGCAAATAGGAAATCTGCTTCTAATAATGAATTTATAAGTACTGTTACATCACAGATGTTAGAGCTGGAAAGGGGGCACCCTTGGGAGTCACGGCTAGTGCCTTCAGTTTACAGATGAGAGTTAAAGCCAAACAAATTGTATACGAAACAAATTTCTGCACACTCCACCAAGAAATGTCAACTTCACTTTTTTTCGAATCAAGGTTTTCTAAACTTTGGAGCTTATCATGACTGAATTATCATTTAAATTCTTCTCCACTTTTTTGCTCATTTTGTTTGCTCAGAAATTTATTCCTTAAAAATAAATTGTGTGTTTGTATTGAGAGTTACAGTCTTATTTCAATACTAGTGGCTCAAATATAATTCTGCTTTTTGTGATTTTAGTGAAATTCTACACAAAACAGTGCCAAAAAATACAAGTGCCATATTCAAATTGACATGAGGAGAACTTAAAAAAAAAACAAAAAACAAAAAACACAAACACACACACAACTCATTCAGCATCTAAAAATCACATAAGCAAGAAAAAGTTAAAATGCAACACACAAACTTATGAAAATTAGATACTTTATTTATAGTTTAATCACAAGAACAACTTTCTTGTTCTTCAAGACGTAAAACATACTAGAATAAACTCTGTAGAATATACAAAAAAATACATATTTTCCCATGAAAATTTTATTTATAATAAATAGAAGGGAACACGTGTGTGGCTGATCCCGATAATGCTCCGTGTCTGCTTAGGTTTTCAGACTGTTGATTTATTTTTAATCTCTCTAAAGAATGGGGGAGTTCCTTCTCCCCTAAAAGGTCGAGATAAATAATGCATGAAGCAATCCTCCCTCCTGATTTTTCCCTTTTCCTCCACATTTTTCCTTTTGATAGAGAGTTCAGCCTAAATTTCCACGCTTGCATTCAATCATTACAAAGCCTACAAATTATACAATGACTTCTAACCTGCCCCTCTAACAAAACAAGTTTTTTTCCCCTTATAAATCATAAGAGACAGATGGCAAAATGGGGAAGAAAGAGGAAAGAGAAGGACAGGACAATAGGCATTGTGACGAATCTGGGAAACAGAACAAAGTGCACATCAGAGAGGGAAAGTTTGGTTTGACAGGTGAAATTCCCACAGCCTGCAGACAGCAATGGGAATAAAGCAGATGCCAGCCATTGCAAATCTGTGGATAATATTATTACCAGTAAAATCATTCAGATGCTAAGATACATTTCTTTCTACTCGACATTAACATCTCTATGTAGAAGCAAAGGTGAAGAGATCACAGGAACCAGTTGCATTCCCCCCGCGAGATTCACACGAACTGCTCCAAGTCCTCCGGCGTTACAGAGAAAGGGGAGGAGCGTCAGTCCGCTCTGCAAACTCTTTCGATATGCCACCATCATCTCTTCCCAGCGTCTTTTTCGTCTCAAGAAGCGCCTCCAAAACGGCACCCTTCACTTTGACAATAAGCTCCGTCACACCTTCAATAAATCAGAGCCCATCTGAATGAATGAGACCCAAAGCCAGGAAATGCAAGAAACAAGCAAGGAATCAGAACGGCTACACCTGCCCTTCGAAGTGAGATGGTTTCCAGGGCTTGGAAAGGCGGGGCAGGGGAAGGGAGGAGGGCTCGGCTGGGGACAGGAAAGGGGACCCACTAAGGCCTGGCGTGGTTAGCAGAGATGGCAGCTCTAGATACAATCCCTGGCTATGGGAAGGTGAGGTGCATAGCGGTGCTTGTCGGGAGGTGGGGGCTGCCAATAGTCCATGTCTGACCCGGCGGGGCTGGCAGGCGATAAAGTGCAGCTGTAGGGGGAGGTGGAGTTGGAGGACGCGGAGGAGGACGGCGCGGGGCTGTTGGTGCAACTCCACGTGGAGGCGGGCGAGGGGCTGTCTCCACTGCTGCTTAGGGCGGCGCTGGCGCCTCCCGGGCTCAGCAACACCGCCTCGGAAAAGAGCGCCCCCGGCAGGCCCCCGCCGCCGCCCCCGCAGTGATCCGCCAGGCGCAGTGTCTCGGTGAGCGCCCAGATGTAGTTGTGGGCAAAGCGCAGGGTCTCGATCTTGGTGAGCTTGGCGTCCTCGGGGAACGTGGGGAGCACCTCGCGCAGCGCGTCCAGAGCCGCGTTGAGGTTGTGCATGCGGTTTCGCTCGCGGTTATTGGCCTTCAGTCTCCGGGTCTTCTTGATGCGCTGCACTGTCTCGGCGGTCTTGGCGCCCCTAGAGACTGCCCGCGCCCGGGAGGGGCGCCGTTTGCACTCGTGCACGAGACCCAGCAGCCTTGAGGGTCGGCAGGCCTCGGCAGCCGCCGCCAGGCCGCCCCGCTCCCCCTGGCCGGCCTCAGCCCCGCGCTGCGGACGCGCCCCGCCGGATGCGCCCAGCTCTTCCTCCTCTTCTTCGTCGGCGCTGGAGGACAGCGGGGTCAGAGCCGCCGAGGTGGGGGATGCCGAGCCGAGCAGCACCAACACGTCCTCTTCCTCCTTCAACTCCAGTGTCTCGGATTTGACGAACATCCTACCGAAGAGAGAGGGGAAGGAGGAAAAGGCAGTGAGGTGTAAGGAAGAAAACAGAGGCGCGATCTTCTGGTTGGCGGGGCGTGCTGCGGCGCGCACCCGAGAAGACCGGCTAGGAGTGGCGCGGAGGTGGAAGGCGGGGAAGAAACCCAGGCACTGCTAGCCAAGGTCAGGAGCTCCGCTTGCGCTCCTTGTGACCCTGCCGCCAGTCAGCCGGGTCCTGCCCTCTGCGGGCGGTCCTGACTGCTGCGTTCCCTCCTCGAGAAGGGACACCGCGATCTCGGGGAAAAACATTCTGCTCGGAGCAGAGGGCGTGCGGGCGTGGTTGGACTGATCAGGCGCGGGAAACCACCTGCGAAGTTGGAAGCGTGGCTCGAATACTTACTTAGTTGACTCTAACTGTGCCTCGGCGTTGCTGTGACTTTGGCTTGTGCCCGGAATCTCCGCGCAGCCGCGAGCGCAGCGCCACGTCCTTCGCCGGGCGCGAAAGCTGCAAGGCGGGCGCTACCGTGGCGCAGCTCCGCAGGGGACCTCGGCGACCGGAGAGTTTGCCAAGAGCCCCGGCGGCGGCGGCGGCGGCCCGCCCGGGTCTCGTGTGTTGTGGTGGTGGTGCGTGTCTGTCTGTCAGTCAGTCCCTGGCCGTGCGGCTCCTGGCACGCGACTCCCAGGCACTCCAGTTAAAGCGAAGCTGCTTGTGGTTCAGTGGCTGCGTGTCTGGCACACGACTCTCCTTAAAACCCCTTATATACCACCAAGAAAACAATCAGATCTGCCCCGGCCCCCCCTCCCCCGCTACCGCCTCCTCCTCCTGCCCCCCTTCTCCCCCGCTTTCCCTCCCCTAGCTTATTCTTTTCACTGCATTATCATCATTCATTTCTTTCTCTTTCTTCACCGCCTTTCCCCCTCCCTTGGCCCTGCCATCCATCCTCCTCCTCCCACCACCCCCGCCTCTCTTTTCCCCCTTTATCTAATCAGCATAAAATGGTTCTAAAGCTCCTGTTGGAGCTCCAGGCTGCGGCCGAAGCTGGCGAAGCCGGGGCGGCCGCAGCGGCTCAAGCAGCGGCTGTTGTCGCCGCCGCTGTCCATTGTGATTGGTGGCTCGCGCTCGGCTGGAGCGTGCCGCTAATTTATTAATGAATGGAGGTCGCGAGGCGCAGCTGGCCAATCAGGGCGCCCCGGACTCCGGGAGGCCTGCGAGCCACGCGCACAGGAGCCCGCTCCCTTTCAGCAGCTCATTAGGGGCCCGAGCGCTGGGGGCGGATGGGGGACCCGTGCTACCGCCCCCGCCTTCGTCCTCTCTGCCGCCGAGGCTCCCCCCGCCCAGCGGGCGCGCACGCACCGCACCCGGCGGTGCCGGGCCTCCTAGCTCCCGGGTGATGGGAGCTAGGAATTAGTTAATGGGGGTCAGAATCCCGGGGAAAACAGTTAGCCCTGTGGTGCTGCCGGTCGTCTTTTGGCAAAGCCTCTTAGGAGCTGTATCAAATAGTAAGCTATTTTAAAACGGATTCATTTGGTCAGGGGAGGAGAAAAGCATGGATGGGGAGCTGTGGACACATCGTGGATAAGTATGTTTGGGGTCTGTCGAAACTGGCGTGGGAGAGTGAAAGGAGAGGACACTGAGGATTCAAAGAGGCGTCTCCTGGGAGGGGAGGTCAGATGGGAGAGCAGTTGATGACCTTTTGGAGGATGTGAGAATAAAAGCACTCACATGTTAGAACTGAAAGGAACCCCATCATTTTACATACAGTAAACTGAGGCTGTGGGCCCTGATACAGGTTTTTCGGGGTTAACCCAGTTTATAGCCTGGAGGCACAGCAAGGAGGCTTCCTGCGTGGGTGGCAGCGAACAGAGCGGGAGGAGCCGCGGAGCTGCTGCTCCTGCGAGCAAATGCGCTGCGCTGACATTTCTGTGACCTCTGCTCCGCTCTGGGGGGCGTTGTAGAGACAAGGGGCCCATCTTCCCAATTCTCCTCCTTTTCAATGAGAAAAAAGAGCTGAAGGGCGACCAGACCTCGGAGGAAATTTGTTCTGAATTGCTCGTCAGCCCTCCCCACTTTCCCCACGTTCTTGCCCACCCTCTTGTCGACTTGGGGATGGATCCGGACTTCAGTAGACTGGAGTGGCTTCCCTTGAGATCCCTTTTGCAAATTAACTTTAGGCAATGCACAGTTGGAGTGTTAGGAGTGGAAGAGGAGAAGAGAAAGAGAATACCATCTTCTGGTCTCTGTCTCCTTCGGTTTGTAGGACTTGGAAACAAGCTGTATTTCAGAGAAGGGGTGGTTAAAGTGGCTGTTAGCATTTTGGCATAGCTTAATTTGTTTAATGTTTTCTTCAGGAAGGTAACAAGACGGATTGGAAGGCACAAAGCAAAGAAAATGAAAATTATAATCCTATGAAAAGGAGCATTGCCCATTGCAGTTCAACCTACAGACTTCCCTCTGTCTTGTAATTATTTGAAAACTATCATGATTTCCACTTTGCTCTTTGTGTTTTCATGTTCTCCCTTTTTAAAGTAAATTCCATTCCCAAAATATAAAAACATCATCTGCCAGTTTCCTCCTCAATTCTTTTAGAACAGCTTTATTTCATTTGTTAGAAGTGCAGAAATAAAAAGAAAGCAAAAAGGGAGACACTTTCAGTGTTCATAGCCCACAGCACCTGTCTCACACATTTTTGGGTTTCTGTCATTGTATCATGAACCTGCAGAATCAGAACTTCATAAAAAGTTTGACCAAGCAACAATTATGCTAGAAGTGCTTACCTTTGTTGCTGTACACATGAGCATTAATTTATAGGCAATTATCACTGATACCAAACGGCAAATACTCTTCTCATAGTCCCCATAAAAGAAAACGCACCAAGGGTGCGGACTTGTCCAGCCCAGTGGGGACTAAAGGAACATGTGGGAGCAGACAAATAATTTTTGTTTGTTTGTAAATTTGAATAAAATAAAAGGACAAGAAAACTAGGTTGTGAGGAAATGATCAAAGACTTAAAAATAAATCCTGGAATGATAGGAGGAACCTTGGTTTTTCAGTCTTTAGATGTCTATATCTCTTCACAGGAGTTGTCTGCAAAGAAATACAAGCCAAAATAGATTAATGTAATGAAAACAAAGATTTGTTTTAGTATCAGTGGAGATACAGGTTGCTTTAAACTTTTGGTTTAGCTAGGAAGTGCTGGGTTGATTTAATAATAAAATATACTTGGGGGAAGAATAGAATTGGAATCCAGTTAAGTAGAGGCTTAAAGGGAAACTTGGTGAGCCTTGTATAACCCCAAATAACAATGAGATCAAGCTGGGTCTGATGCTTCATGCCAGAGAAACACACAATGGATTTCTTGAGTTGATTGTTAACAGTATTTGGACATCTGACTCCCCAGTTTTTATATTCTCCAAGGATTTTATGTTTTTATGACTCACTGAAAGGGCACATGTTTTCCTTTGACAAAATTCAAACCTTCTATACTGTCTGTGAGTGATAAGTTAATAATGCATATTTAAGTATATCAGTAATGGTAAAATTATATGAAGGTAAACTGCACACTTCCTATTCTGGAAGTTTCCTGCAAAAGGAAAAGCTATTCCAACAGTGTCAAGGAACTTAGGGTTGTATACATATTCAAACAGTGATATAAATCTACTTCTAATAATTAAATGTAAAGTCATTGTCAGGTTATTAGAATTTTATTTTTTTTTAATAAGGGCTTCTTTGGGCATATGCAGGGGGGTATGTCAGATTAGTATAAAAAGTACATCTGTAAATGGAAACACATGGACACAGGGAGGGGAACATCACACACCAGTGCCTGTTGGGGAGTGGGGGTTAAAGGGAGGGAGAGCATTAGGACAAATACCTAATGCATTCAGGGACTTAAAATAGATTATGTGTTGATAGGTGCAGCAAACCGCCATAGCACAAGTTGAAACATACCTGCACGTTCTCCACATGTATTCCAGAACTTAAAGTAAATTTTTTTAAAAAGATATAAAACAATTTTTAAAAGTACGTCTGAAAAAACAAACAGAAAGAAAGAAAGAAGAAAGAAAGAAAGAAAGAAAGAAGAAAGAAAAAAAAAAAAAAAAAAAAAAAAGAAAGAAAGAAAGAAAACACCATCTATATATCCTGGAATGGTTGTGTGTTTGTACTGTAGCCTTCAAGAGCTGCCTCACTCTTGATAACAGAGCACTTCTGAAAATATTTCTCACTGTGAAAAATATGATTTTTAAAAAGAAAAGAAACCCAAGGACAAACTCATGCAATCCAAAGACCAACCATTCGTACTCACTGTTGCCTAGATAGCAGAAGTGTTTTTGTTCAGCATTTTGCTTAGTTTTGCCAGAAAACGAAGGCAACTTCAATTTGTACTCAGCTTTGCGAAGGCATAACTAATGCCAAATATCCGTAGCTGGACTCTTCTAGCACTCCTTTAACTTAAATAAATTCGAGAGGCACTTGTGTGGTCTAAAAGATTGTCCAGAAGAAACGAGGCTGAAATGTTATGTGAAGGGGGAGGGCTTGAGTGAATAGCACAGCCAGGATGGTGGCCGAGGGCCGCTCCTGTCCATCGCACGAACTGTCCTAAGGGGCCAAACTGTTCATCTTCAGCCCTTCTTTCAGTGCGCAATCCTACTTTGAGAGAACAAAAGCTCAAAGCAGGCAGCTATCAAGAAATGGGAGCACAATGATTTAAACTCATCCCCAAGCCTCAGAAAGAAAGGGGGCTGAGTGTGTGCAGTGAGAGAAAAGTGGGGTAAGGGGAGGGGTAGGAGGGTGGGATATTTAGAAAGTCTTTGTTGCTTCTAAGAAGCTTGAACTTTGAGACGACCCAAAAGCCCTAAAGTTTAGGGTAGGTGTTGCTGTGCAGCCATAGGCTACATCCCCTCCACACTCCGACCTCACAAGTGGCGAAAGAGGACAAATGGTCGCCGCGCTAGTCCCTTGCTGTTGCAGGTAATTGTCCGGGGCGCGAAAGAGGGCGCCCTTCCCTGAGAGGGCAAAAGCCAAAATTTGGCTGTCCAGCGAGGCTATCCCCCAATTCACAGTCAACCACTGTCGGCCAAAGAAGACAGCATGTCTACGCTCTGCTAAAATAACAATAACAGGATGAAGTACCGGACAAGGGGGCTTTGTAACCCAAATCCTAATCCTCCGAGTGAGTCCTCAGAAGGATGGGAAGATGGCGAGAAAAAGTTGGTAAATCCTAAACATCTTTCACACCCAGGATCTCTAGTTCTTTGCTGCAGGCTAGAGACACAGTTTCCAGATCAGGGGAGCCTGGGATGGGAACAATTAGCTTTCTCCGCAGAGCACTCTTAGCAATGCTAGGATTTGTTATTGATAGTGATGAGAGCTGGGAATGAGTGTGAATTCGGAGTTTCTGACCGTCCCCTATCTGGGAGCCAAGGAAGTCAAGGGGAAAACAATGTAAATTCGCCCTCGTCCCCAGCTACTGCACCCCACAAGGTATCCTTGGTCTTCCCCTCCTTTACCCCCTGTCCAGAGAGGACTCGGCTTGAACCTAGTCCTGGAGATGTCCCGGCCAGGTCACTTCACTGCGCTTCACTGCTCCAGCCCCTCCCCTTCAGTATTTTCGTGGCGTCAGAGGAATCCGTATCCGCCAGAGCAGACAGAAGGCAGGGAAGATCATCCCCCAAACCCCAAGCCCCACTCTAGAGACCCGGGTCCCAAGCCCGCACGGAGAGCTCTGGTGCCTCCAAGCCAAACATTCCGGAAGCCGGTTTGACCCACAAGGTCGGCTTGATTGCGGCGGAATGGGCCCCGCAGGTGCCAGGTGGCTCACTTCCTTCTTCGCAGAAGACGCTACCCTGTCCCCACCGCAGACTTCTTACACCTGATGCAACCCGCTACCCAAGTGTCCCTGTTCTTTCCCACGAAGGAAAGAAATTACCGTAGGAGACTTTGCCAATCCATGCCAGCTTTCTGATTGTTTTCTTCAGGTAAGCGGAAAAGAACAGCCGGCGAGTGAATGGAGAGCTGGGGGCCTACTAGGGAGAGAACCTCTTCACCACCTTTCTGTGCCTGCAAAAAGGGACATTGGCTATCCAGGGGAAAGTGCAAGAAAGAGAGCACTAATCGCTGAACCAGGAGACAAACACGATTACCAGCTCCGAGCCTTGAGTCAGAAAGTCTCATAGACTTTAAGATGTTAATCCCCAACATAATCCTTCCTTTGGCGTGTAGGAATAGTGCAGCCACAAGAGTTGTTTTGTTATTTATATTGGCGTTTAATAAAACTCAGCCAGTGGTGAATGGGCTGCCCACTCTCCAATGGTAATTAATTCCCTATTTCAGTGACCCAATTGTCCTGGGACAGAGCGGTGGGCCCGTCCCAGTGCCCCGATCCCCCTTTGTGCGGATACACTGCCCTCGTGCTTCAACAGCTATGGAAACTCATTCTTTTGATGTCATTCAAGGAGTTTTCCTTGGGCATCTTCTAAACTTCAAGGACCCTTTTTTTTTTCTCCATTTCATGAAAAGCAGTGCGAGCTTGACCACCTCTGTAGAATTTAATGATTTGGTGAAAGGGCCCTTTGGGATTTGTGTAAGGAGTTAGACAGAGAGAAAGGAAATTTGGCAGCCTGCTCCCTCGCAGGGACCGTCCCGAACCTGGAAAACACAAAACTTATTGAGAAAAATGTATAAAGATCTTGAAACCTGATTTTCCCTCTCCTCTCCCCACTAAGGAAAAAAATACCAAAAACAAAATAAAACTTAATTATCTTCTGGAAATACATGTATTGTTTGTTGTTGCTGATACAAATTAAAAGGGTGATGTTGAGGAAAATAAGTTCGAATCTTTAGCAGAGACAATTCCTTAATGTGTACCATTTGGAAAAAGGATATCAGTTTATTGCTTTAAGTTATTCATTGAATCATCCCTCCTTCCTAAATTCAAAATACACTTGATGAGCACCCAATGTGTGTCACACACTGTACTAGGCCCAGGAAACACTGCAACGCACAAGACGCACGTTCCTACCATCTAGAGCTTACATTCAAAAGCATTAAAATTCGTTTTAGGAGTCAGGCGCGGTGGCTCACGCCTGCAATCGCAGCGCTTTGGGAGGCCGAGACAGGCGGATCGCTTGAGCTCAGGAGTTCGAGACCAGCCCAGGCAACAAGACAAATCCCTCTCTACAAAAAAAAAAAAAAAAAAAAAAAAAAAAAAAAAAATTAGCAGGCTAGGTGGTATGTGCCGGTAATCCCAGCTACTCGGGAGGCTGAGGTGGGAGAATCACTTGAGCCCGTGAAAGGGAGGTTGCAATGAGACAAGATCGCACCACTGCACTCCAGCTTGGGCAACAGAGTGAGACCCTGTCTCAAAAACAAAAAAAAAAAAAAACTTTTACATATCAGGAAATGATATGTGTATGTAGACAATGAAACAGTGTGATACACAATAGTTTGGGAGACGGGGATGTGGTGTATTTTCAGGGATCTAAAGATATACTTTAGAACCTAAAACATTGGCGGTCGACCCTTATCGCTGATTTATCCATTCTTTCTTTCCCCCGCAGTATTTCTCGAGCGCCTGCCGATTGCTCGCCCCTAGCAAGGCGCAGCGTTTGCACCGGGCGCGAACCACGCAGCTGCAGCCTGCCTGGTAGAAAAGACCCTGCGATAACGCAGTTGCTAGCACCGCTCTCGGCGGAGGAGCCAGGGACGGGTCTCCAGGCCGGGAGGGGGCGGCCGCGGCGCGCCCGGGCAGCGCTC